ATGATTTTTCCACGCAGAGGCACTCACAGCTCAACCCGTCCCCCTTTCCCCCGAGTGGGCAGGCAGCAGGAGGGGGAGGTGCGGCAGCTGCAGCGGGAGGTGCAGGAGGCGCGCGCAGCCAGGGACGCCACGGCGGACGAGCTGCTGAGAGTATCACAGCGCCTCCTCGCGCTCGAAAAGGTGGGGTTGGGGCTGTGAGAGGGAAGGAGGGGAGGACAGGGGAGAGGCGTGTTGCAAGGAAGTAGTAGGTGGGGGGATAAATTGTGTGTGTGTGTGTCGGATGTGAGTGGAGTGGCGACGCGAGTGTGGCTGTCCACTCTCCACCAGCACCGCGCTCACAGCATGCCCCTTGTGTCGACTCTTCCCCACCAGGAGCGAGTGGCAGTACTGGCACTGGAAGCAGAGCTACAGCAATTGAGGGCACGGCACGAGGTGGCGCTGGTGATGGTGGGCGAGCGCAACGAGCGTGTGGACGAGCTCGAAGCTGACCTGGCGGACGTCAGGGCGCTCTACAAGGAGCAGGTCGCCCTGCTGGCTGCGCAGGTGCGTGGCGGCAGGCAGGCACAGAGGGGCGTGGTGTTGGGCGGGCAGGAAAGTGTGGTGAGTCGAGGAGTGGAGGGCACAGAGACGGCAGTGCCGCCACATGGCAGTGCCCCAGGGCTGCATGGCTGCTGCTGGCACGCACCGCTGTTGCAGTGACCTGCACCGCTGTTGCAGTGACCTGCACCGCTGTTGCAGTGACCTGCACCGCTGTTGCAGTGACCTGCACCGCTGTTGCAGTGACCTGCACCGCTGTTGCAGTGACCTGCACCGCTGTTGCAGTGACCTGCACCGCTGTTGCAGTGACCTGCACCGCTGTTGCAGTGACCTGCACCGCTGTTGCAGTGACCTGCACCGCTGTTGCAGTGACCTGCACCGCTGTTGCAGTGACCTGCACCGCTGTTGCAGTGACCTGCATCTGCTGGGAGCATCACAAGCTCCATGCGCGCAACAAACCTACCAACCATCCCTAGTCTCAAAATCTCCCCTCGTGCTCTGCGCTCTGTGCTCCATTCCGCCCCCATCCCACTCTACCCACCCAACCTTCTACCCGCCCTCACTCTGACCCCCTCCCGTTGCTGCCCTCTATGCCAGGTGGACCCAGCCAAGTGGCCACAGGGCTATCGCATCTGCCTCTTCTGCCCGCACTGCGCCAAGACCCAGCGCTCCCACCCCAAGTAGTCCGCCCATGCTGCTGTATTGCTCATTCTGGATGTGCCATGTTGCAAAACAAAATGTTTTTGCGTGTGACTGTGCTGTGCTCCAAGCATCAATCAATGCAATGGCTCATTAAGATAACAGCTGTGTGCCTTCATTTGATTGTACATTCTGGAGAAACAAATACAGCCTCAGCAATACCCATCACCTGTAACATGAGCATTATCAATAACGAGTGGCAGTTTCTGGTCACAGCTTCAACCTGCTGCCTGCACTGGGGGCCGCCTTCATCTTGTGCTGCTGATGACGCTTCCAAAGGTGGCTGGCTGCGACAGAGGCGAGGCAGGCCGGCAGGGCACTATCCACTCAACCCCTCCCACTCGCCCTCCCTCACATGTCCTTCCTCTTCTTGCCTTTGCCCTTGCCCTTCCCCTTGCCCTTGTCCTGTGCACCACTCCACTCCCTCTTCCTCTCCTGCACCTCCACCTGCTTCTGTACCCTCGCTGCTGCTGCCCTCGCCCTTCTGCTCAGCTCCCCCTTCCGCCCCGCCCCCTCCTGCTGCTGCCCCCCGCCCCCTTTACCCCCTCTGCCCGCGGGGCGCTGCTGCTCGCTATCCCCCTGGCCCCTCTTGGCCGGCTGGGCCACAGCCCGACCCACACCCGACACCAGCTCCTCCCACGACACCTCCTCCCCTGCCAACCCTCCCACTGTGCCTTCCCCCACCTCATCCTCTTCTCTCCCTTCACCTGCCACACCTTCCCTCTCTGAATCCTCTAATCCCTCTGCTTTTGCCTCTTCCTCCTCGCCCTCCTCTCCTTCCTCTCTCTCCTCTCCTTCCTCTATTTCCTCTCCCTCCTCTAGCTCCTCTCCCTCCTTATCCTCTTCTTCCTCCTCTTCCACCACTTCTTCATCCTCCAACTCCTCTTCCTCCTCCTCCCCCTCTTCACCTTCCTCCCCCTCCCCCTCGCCCTTCCGCTTCACCCACTTGCCTGTCGTGCCCTGCCCCCGGGCGTCCTCCTCATCGAAAGCCAGGCCAGCATTGGTGGGAATGCGCATGTTCTGCTGCCGCCGCGCCACCTCGCGCAGCACCTCAGTCATCTTCTCCATCTGCTCACTCACCTGCCGCCGCTCCGCACTCTCCCCCTCCCCTGCCTCCCCCTCTGCCCCTACCCCTTCCACCCCCTCTGCGTCATCCGCCCCCCCAGCGCCCTGCTTCCCTGCGGCCTTGCCCCCAGCGCCCTTGTGAGGGAGAGCGTCGGAGTCGGGCGGCGGGGTGAAGAAGGGGATCTTGCCGCGCTGCCAGTCGTGCAGCACCATCTTCGCTGCTGTCTGCACGTCCGGCTCCCCGCCCTGAGGGGGTGGCGGGAGGAAGAGGGGGAGGAGGGAGAGGGCGACATGGTAGAGGGCGGGAGGGAGTGGAAGGGACGAGAGAGAGGGAGGATAGTGGGGATGGAAAGGGGAGTGAGGCAGCAAGGGGTTTGCAGAGTTGATGCAATGCACGCTTTGCATCAGCTCCCATGTGTGGCCGTGTGTGGGTGGCTGTGATGCGGCTAAAGGAAGGGAATGTTCCACAACGCCAGACACAGTGACCCCCGGCTCTCACCTTGAGCAGCTTGCCAGTGCGCTTGGCCATCTGTGACAGGAAGTCCGTTGCATCCTCCCTGGTGGGGCATGGGGCACCGTCATGTGGGAGGGCACAGACGGGTGGGGATACAGCAACGCGCACGAGATGAAATGAGACTGCACTGCGGCGCCAGAGGAATGGTGCTGCATCTAAGAGGTGCATCGAGCAGCTGGCAGGCGCACACACAAAGCAGCAGCATACAGCAGGCAGGGGAAGCAGTGACACAGAGGACGGGGCAGTGAGAGCGAGGCAAGGCACGGACCATTTGTCAATGCCGTAGGCGCGGGTGAGATAGGCGGGTTTGACGCGGGCGAGCACGTCAGGGATGTGCTGATCGGCGTCCTCGAGGTTGGCGACCCTGACGACGCCCTTGAGCACGGCGTTGGTCTCGCTGTCCCGCGCGTCCGCGTACACGACGCCCGGGCAGTCAATGAGGAAGATGCGCTTCATCAGCGTTATGTACTGCCACACCTTCGTCTCGCCCGGCACTGGCGCCACCGAACACACCTGTGGGGGCGGGGTACCGGGGTGGGGCAGAGGGGTGAGAGGGGTGGAGAGGGCAGTTGAGTGAGGGGAATGCGGCGACTTGTTCACACGGGCTGGGGGGGCAGCCGAGGGCAACAAGGGAAGTGTTGATGGATGAGGTCTGGAAGGGCTTGCCTTTTTGGTGCGCAGGGTGTTGATGACGGACGACTTGCCCACGTTGGGGTAGCCGATGAACCCCACGCTGATGGCCTGCTTGTCGCTCTTCAGCCGCGCCACCTGCCGCAGCAGCGACAGCAGTGACCCCTGCTCGCGCCCACAGTGGAAAAACAGAGGGAGGCGCACAGAGGGGCGCGCAGAGGGGAGGAGTCGAGTTGACATGGCGGTGTTGCAGGGCATTACGAGGCACGCACGAGTCGAGTCGCACACAGGCTGCAACAATGCACAGCGCCAACGAAGAGGCGAGGTTTTACCTTGCCAAAGGGGTTGGTGATGGAGGCGTGGAAGGCGAGCGTGGGGTACTCGCGGGACAGCGCTCTGAGCCACCCCTTGGCCACCCACGACGGCACCAGGTCGCACTGCACGGCGTCAGTGCAGCACAGGGGGGCCGGGGGCACAGGTGGGGGAGAGGAAGGGGAGCGGGAGGGCAGTGGATTGTGGGAAATGGCACGTGAGGATGTGGGACACGGCAGTGGCGCGGGGCCAGCGGGACAGCACCTCACAACACCGCACAGACACGCACACGAGGGGAATCACAGGTTGAGGCGCAGTGGTGACCTGACGCACCTTGTTGAGCAGCAGCAGCAGGTGCTTGTGAGGGCACTTGTCGCGCAGGTGCCTCTCAAGGTAGGTGCAGCGCGTGCCCAGGGGGTCCCTGGCGTCCAGCACCTGCACCACCACGTCGCTCGAGTCCAGCACCTTGAACAGCTCGCCCCAGATGCGCCGGCTCTGCCCCTTGTCGAACATGCTGTGCCGTACCACCGCCCTCACGCCGTCCTCCGCGTCCTGCGCGCGTGTCAGCGCCTCGCTGCCGCCCGCCTTGCCCTCAAACGACTCTGTGCGCCCCATGGAGGGGGGGGAGGGGAGAGGGGGGAGGAGGTGGGGAAGGGGAGAAGGAGAGTTGGTAAGCAGGGGAAAAGGGGAGAGGTGGGAAGGGAGGAGCAGCGAGCAGCAGTATATGGCCCTAATTCCTGTCCCACTACCTCCCCCCCCTTTCCCCTACCCTGTTTCTCCGCGCTGTGTTGCAGCAGCGACTCGTAGCCTTCGGCGGCGGCGCCCAGCTTGGGGCGGCGGCGCTTGGCACCCGGCCCGAACGTGTCCTGAAACGGCTCCGTCTCCACTATGTGCACGCGCGCCTTGCCCTAACGGACGGGAGGGGGCGGGGGGGGAGGAGAGTGGGGAGGAGAGGGGGGAGGGGGCGGAGAAGGGGGGTGAGCCCGAGAGGGGGGGAGGGCATATGGGGCAGAGGGGAGGAGGTAATAGTGGCGGGCGGAAAACAAAGTGGAATGGGGACAGGGGGGAGAAGTGAAGCTTAATCGGGAGGGGAGGGCAGGAAGGTTAGGGGGCGGGGCGTGGCGGGGTGCACCTGCGGTTGGTGGTTGAGGAGCGAGAGCGGCAGCGTGCGGTGCTTGAGCACGACGGTGTACGCGTCCGACACCTTGCTACCCAGCTCTTCGCGGAACCGCTCCAGCTCGCGCTGCCCCACCACGCGCGTGTTGCCTGCGCCAAGCCGTGCAAGGGTTTTGGGTTCGCAGGGGGGTTATATAGACAGAGTTAAGGCTTCCGCGCGGGTGAATGTTCGGTTGTGGGCAACGAAATCGTTGTAAGGCTTGAATACCGCGCGCAAATCTAGGGTTTGAGGTTTCGGGTTTCCAGTTTCGAAGCACATAAGCGGAGCGCGGACAAACGAAGAGTTCGCAAACCACGACGCGTTACAGGGCACGTCAGCTTCAACCTGACTGCCCGCACGTAAATCCGTGAAACCGACTATTCGCCTTCAACAGTCACTCTACAGCACTCCGCACGCATCACACAGCTGACGTCAGCACGGCGAACGGATAGCGGAGGGCGGACGGGAGGGGGGAGGGAGGAGCGGGAGAGGCGCCGGGAGAGGTGCTGACCGAACCAGCGGCGGTCGGGTTTGATGCGCGTGTTGGGGAGCGCCTTGGACTGCAGGTCCGTGTGCAGAACATGGCCCTTGCTGTTTCGCCACGGCCGCGTCTTGTACATCGCCAGCCGCCGCACCGTCGCCGCCGACCGCATGGACGACCCCGGCCCAGTCGACGACTTGCCCATGCCCTCACGGCGCGTGGCGTCCATGGAGTGGCCCGGCTTGCCCTTATTGGGCGTCGTCTCCTTCTTCTTCGCCATCGCCTCTCGCGACCGCTGAACGCGTCGCTGCGGTGCGGTGGGAAGGTGAGTACGTGTGTAGGGCAATGGAGTGGTGCGGAGCGAACAGAAGAGCTGAGATCAAATGTGTGGGGAGATGGGGAGACGACAAGGTGTGGTTTGGTTGGAAAGAGGAAATGTGGGTGGGGGGTGTTGTGCTTTTGTGTGTATATTCCGCGTTTGAGGAAGACTCGCAGCTAACATAGTGGATCCTACAGCTGTGGTTGAATCTCTGCAGAAAATTCTTGTGTGCGACTGGTTGCGAAATTTTGATGTGCACGTTCCTCGATATAGGGCAACTCTAACGGAACTATTGTTGCTTGGCTGGTGCAGCGCTAGGCTAGGACATTTTGCTCTACAAGAGCAAAATCGCGAATCTCGATGTCCTGAATGCTTTGCAAAATCATGGCCAATGGTTTCCCCACTGATTGCCCCTCACATTTCCTCTCCCGTCATTGGCGCACGTAACCGCACGTTATCTGCTCACTGCCCCATCCTCTGCCCGCAGTCACATCATTGGCCCATTCTGCCCCGTCAGCTGCCCCCCGTCCGCACCATCCCCAAGTCACCAATCCTTCCACCACATTCGGATTTGGGATTGTTGCGGTTGAGGCGAAGCAAAGTTGCAAAATGGAAAGCTAATCGTCTCCTACGGTGGTTTTTTCCTTGCGTCCTTCGTCACCTCACACCGCCCACTGCCACGCACCTTGGGATTGCGCATTTCCTTCCTCGGCGTGTCGCGCCCAATTTCGTTGCCGTGGCCTCTCTCTTTTCGGCTTCTTTCCCCGTGCCTCGGGAGTATCAGGACAGCACCACGCGTGCATATTCGCGGCTGCTGTGTCTTGCGCTGTTCAGTGCCGTGCACGCCTTGCACATTCCGCTTTGAGACGAATCGAAATGGCGTCGCTCGCCGCGTCCAAGGCGCTACTCGCCAGACCATCCGGCGGCCTCGCGGCCCGCTGCGCGCCGATGTCGTCCTCACACTCGACGGCCGCCGCCGCGTGCCAACTGGCGCTCGCCACCCCACAGGGCGCGTCAGTGCGGCCGCAACGGCGGAGAGCGGCGGTGCGCGTGGCGGCCAAGGCTGTGGAGGAGGTGCAGGTGGAAGAGCAGGCTGCCGTGCCAGGTCAGTCGCGCTTCGTCAGCCGCTGTTCTCTCGTCACGCAATTGGGCTGTATGGTCAGGAAAAGAGGGCATTTTTTAAGAATAGAAAACTAGCGAGTTCTTGCCACGAGCAGTATCGGTTGCTGGATGACGTAGATGATCTAGCTGCTGTTCATTTGTCGAGTTTGAATAGGTCAGGCCGCGCGGACGTGCTGACTCCGCATGTCTCCTCGCGGGTCATCGACTTCCCTGATCGCAGCAACACCTTCTTGCTTTCCCCTTGCCTTCCCCTTGCTTACCGCTTGCTTTCCCCTTGCTTTTCCGTTGCCTTTTCCGTGCTTCCCGCCGTCCGGCGCCATTCCCTATCCTCCCGTCACGCCCTTTCCCCGCGTGTTCCGCCGTCCCCCATCTCGCCCGCGCAGCGCCCTTCAACTTCGAGGCGTACATGTATGCCAAGGCCAAGGCGGTCAACGCGGCGCTGGACGCGGCGGTGCCGCTGCAGTACCCGGAGCGCATCCACGAGGCCATGCGCTACTCGCTGCTTGCCGGCGGCAAGCGCGTCCGCCCGTGCCTGTGCCTGGCGGCGTGCGAGCTGGTGGGCGGCAGCGACTCGGTGGCGATGGCGGCGGCGTGCGCGATGGAGATGATCCACACGATGTCGCTCATCCACGACGACCTGCCCTGCATGGACAACGACGACTTCCGCCGCGGCAAACCCACCAACCACAAGGTCCGCTCGCACGGGCTTGGGCCAAATCACACAATCGCGGGCCGACTGAGAGAATCCCTTACGGGATTTCAGGGAGAGTGGGAGAGGGGCTTTTCACGGGGTGGGGTTGGAAATGGGGATTCACGGTCGAACGGGGTGGGTGAAATGGAGACAGCCGCGAGAGTCTCGCCGTGCCAGCTCTTCCTTCATCCCACCGCCCTTCCTCTTCCATCATCTCGTGCGCTCACCGCCATCGCATTCATCCGCCCCTCCTAACCTCCCCCACTCTCCCTCCCCCAACCCCCCTCCGCCTTCCGCCCTCCGCCTTCCGCCCTCCACCTTCCGCCCTCCGCCTTCCGCCCTCCGCCTTCCGCCCTCCGCCTTCCGCCCTCCGCCAGGTGTACGGGGAGGACGTGGCGGTGCTGGCGGGCGACGCGCTGCTGTCGTTCGCCTTCGAGCACGTCGCGCGCGCCACGCCCGCGTCCGTGCCGGCGGAGCGCGTGGTGCGCGTGATCGCCGACATGGGCAAGGCCGTCGGCTCCGAGGGGCTCGTCGCGGGCCAGGTGCGCGCACAAGGCCGGGGAGGGCGGGGGACGGGGGGGGTAAAGAGTGAGATAGCGCGTGCCAAGTGCAATTCGTGGCGGTCGTGCGATTTCAGCGCCTCCAGAAGCAGCGGGCCATTGGAGTGGGGATGAGGGGCTGCAGCATAAGGGTTAGTGACGAGCTCTGGCAACAAAACCCAAGCCAGACGCCAGCACGAAAGGTGAAGGGCGGCCGATCATGGTTCGAAGGAGGATTCAGTGGGGAGATAGGGGAGTGCAAACGAAGTGTGAGCCTGAACGAGTGGGGACCAAGTGTGTCTTATCGTGGCCCCATGGGCTGCCATTGCCCCCATAACCCCCCCTTTCTTCCCTCCCCTTTGTGCGCGCTGGGCAGATCGTGGATCTGGACAGCGAGAGCGACTCATCGGTGGGAGTGGAGACGCTGGAGTACATCCACGTGCACAAGACCGCCGCGCTGCTCGAAGTCTCCGTGGTGGCGGGCGCCGTGCTGGGCGGCGCCAACGACGACCAGGTGGAGCGCCTCCGCAAGTACGCCCAGTTCGTTGGGCTCGGCTTCCAGGTGAGCCAGTTCGTTGGGCTCGGCTTCCAGGTGAGCCAGTTCGTTGGGCTCGGCTTCCAGGTGAGCCAGTTCGTTGGGCTCGGCTTCCAGGTGCGAATCAATTCTTGCAAGTTCTTAGAAGAGGGAGCTTGGCTTACAGGTGGGGGTGAGTGTGCTTGAGGTGGGAATTTAATTATTGGGTTTGGGGTTGAACTGTTGCGGTGAAGCCAAGGGATGTGAAGACGCACAGGAATTTGTCAGGAATTTGTCCTGCAATCGATAGCAACGCGCGGAAATTTGTGAACTAAATTATTTTATCTTGCAATCCCTTGTGACTAAACCATCGATGAGGTCCTGAGAGTTCACAGATCCCATCGATGAGTCTAGTCAGGAATTTGTCCTGCAATCGATAGCAACGCGCGGTAAGGTGCATGCCACACGTGCCACAGCATTCCCCGCTTATATGGCTGTAGTGTTAACATGTGATTGCCACCTTTCTCATGCAATCAATCCCCCACACCTCGTCACCCCCTTCATAGATTCCTTTTCATCCCATTCCCTCCCATCCCTACTCTACCCCTCTCCTTCCCTCCCCACCCCACTTGACCCCACCCCACCCCACCCCTCCCATCCGCTCCGCTCACATCCGCCATGTGTGCGGGCGGGCAGGTGGTGGACGACATTCTGGATGTGACCAAGTCCACGGAGGAGCTCGGCAAGACGGCTGGCAAGGACCTCGCACAGGACAAAACCACCTACCCCAAGTAAGACAAAATTTCCCACTCCAAATGAGAAACCATTTTCCCTAAGTGAACAAACCACCGACCCCAAGTGAGACATAACCGCCTACCCGTGAACCCTCGAGACTAAACCACCTACCCCTTGTGAGCTCTCAGGTATCGTGCAGGACGAAAATACCTACCCCAAGTGCGTGCTGGCCCCTTGCTCCTTTCCTCTTTTATGCAGAGTGGAGGGAAATGCATGCTCTCTGCTATCTCTCCCTGTGGTTAACCCTTATAATCCTTTCCACATCACTTCCCCCTTTCCTCCCCTTACCTCGTGAAGGTTACTTGGGCTGGAGAAGTCCAAGGAGCTGGCAGAGGAGTTGATTCGGAAGGCCAAGGAGCAGCTGAGCACATTTGAACAGCACAAGGCGGCCCCCCTCATCGGCCTTGCTGACTTCATTGCTTATCGCCAAAATTGACAGGCTAGGGAGGGTTAGGCGAAAGATAAAATAATTTAGTTCACAGATTCTTTTAGGGGACGCTTCAAGTTTAGCTGTGGAAGGGAAGGAAATTGAAGTTAACAATAGCAGTGAGTTGTGTAACATATCGTGTTACTCGTCACCGATTGCGCCAGGTCGTCTTCGCAAACTCGTAGATAACCTGGTACTGTACCATGTCGAATATTGAGAGAAGGTTCCCAATATCCGGTTACCACACACACTTTCCGCATTCGCGAGCGCGAATCAGCAAGTTCTCTGTGTCGTTCGACCATCTTCACAATCCCCGCGATTCTCGTATTTCAGCCCACATTCGTCCATTTCCACACTGCGCCTAATTACTGTCCTCTGCGCATTGCCACGTGCACGGCACCGTTTCCGTCTCTTACTTCAACGCTCCGCAAGCGACAGGCAGTCCGACGCGTCCGCGTGTGCGGAGCATGGCTCGCGTCGTGCCTTGCCCGCACATCGCCAACCGTGCTACTGTGTCTCCGCACTGCCCCGCGTTGTGCTCCTCAATCGCGCCGACATGGAACCCCACGCCGTCCGCCCTCTCGCCTTTCGCCTCCGCGCTACGTCCCGCAGCCACTCTTCCGCGATTGTCGGCGAATTCACAAATTCGCGCGCGTGTACTCCCGCGGCCGCAGCCAGCGAGGCGGCGTGAGCTCGTGGTCCGCGCGGCGGGGCAGGAGGGCGGGGAGAAGGACGACGACAAGCCCAAGGCCGCCGGCACTCTGCCCGACGGTGACTCGGGCAGTAAAGCGCCCGAATCCTCGTCTCCCCCTCCCCCGCCCTCCGCCGGCCCGCCATCATCCCCCGCGCCCGTGCAGCTGGACTCGTACGCGGTGGTGGCGCTGCTGGGGCCCGAGAAGGTCGACGCGGACGACGTGGCGCTGCTGCGCGCCAAGCTCTTCGGCTACTCCACCTTCTTCGTCACCGGCCAGGAGCCCTTTGGCGAGGCGGGCGAAGCCGTGCTGTTACAGGGTAACCTGCGCGGCCCCAAGGAGGAGGTATTCGCGAAGCTGCGCGCGGGCATGCGGCTGCTGTTCGGCGCAAAGTACGAGCTGCTGATGGTGCAGGAGCCGCGCAAGCCGGGCGCGCCGCCCAGCGAGGGGGAGGGGAAGGAGGAGCGCGTGGCGATGGTGGTGGTGCGCGCGGAGCAGCTGCAGGGCCGCGCCACCTCCGCGTGGCAGTTCGCGCTCGGCGCGCTGCTGCTCGCGCTCACCGGGGGGGCGTGCCTTGAGCTGGGCCTCGCCAGCCAGGTGGGGGGTTCTTCTGGGGAAGGAGGGGGGGAGAGAAGAGGGAAGGGGAGAAAGGGGGATAGAATTTGGGAAGAGTGGATTATTGGAGCTGGAAAGAAGTGAGAGGAGAAAGCGAGGCGTTTCATTGGCAAAGGGTGTTCTGGAGGGGTTGGGAGGGGTGTGGTGCGATGGTGCAGATCACTAGCACTCATTGGACAGCGTGGGGAGGGCAGAGCACGAGTACAGTAGTGCAGGGGTGGTCTGTAAGCAGCAGCATTTCAACCAATCCCCCACGCCCACCCCCTTCCCCTTTGCGTGCCGCCCAGATCTCCAAGGTGTCGCCCGATGTGATTCGCTACTTCACGTCACCCAATCCCGAGGAGCTGACCCCGCCTGATGTGACGGTGGTGGCGCCGTTGGTGCGCAACGCGCTGCCCATCGCCTACGGGGTCTTTGGAGTGCAGGTCTTCCATGTGAGTGCAGGAGATGCATGCAAGGCAGAGCAGGTGTGTCTTCCATGTGAGTGCAGGAGATGCATGCAAGGCAGAGCAGGTGTGTCTTCCACGTGAGTGCAGGCACGGTTCCCTTCATACAGATGCAGGGCTGGTGTGTTGTCCCCGTGAGTGGGGAGACGGCTTCTCTCAGACAGGGGCAGGTGCAGGTGGGTGTTGCACACCCATGCACGCACGCACGTGCCATGTCTGCGACTCCCTCACATCACATCAGGTGCCCCTGGTGTAGCTCAACAGATCCACCTCACTCCCTCACCTCCAGCATCCACGTGCTCCTGTGTCATGCACTATCCTTCTCTCACCCAACCACCCACGGCCACCACCCAACCCCCTCCACTGCACCCCACGTAACCACCCCAGGAGGTGGCCCACTGGCTGACGGCAGCACAGAAGCGGGTCAGGCTCGGCATCCCGTACCTCATCCCCAACATCACCATTGGCAGCTTCGGGGCCATCACTCAGGTACAGTGAACCTGGACGGGCCTTCGTAGCCGCCCCCTTCTCCTCTGCTTTACCAGCATGCAGTTCGAGTCTTTTCATGCTCTCCTCCCTTCCCCCTCCTTCCCTCAAGCCTCACTCGCTTCCCCCTCGTCCCTCCCCACACACCCTAACTCCCCTGCAATCTCTCCCCGTTCTTCTCCTCCCCTCCAGATCAAGAGCCCCTGCCCGGACCGCACCGCTCTCTTTGACATTGCCATGGCCGGCCCGCTAGCCGGTGCCACCTTGTCGCTCGCCATGTTCGCAGCGGGCCTTGCCCTCTCACTGCCGCCAGCTGGCCCGCTGGCAGCGCTTCCGGGGCTGCAGGAGTCGCTCGTGCAGGTGCCATCGCAGCTCTTCCAGGGCTCCCTGCTGCTCGGCGCACTCTGCCGAGCCGTTCTGGGATACGAGTGAGTGCAGATCGGTGCTAGGATTTAGTGGGAGTTTTTTTTAGGGTTTTGAAAAGAGGGTGGAAGGCTAGTAGGCCTCTCCTCGCGTTCCGCCTTAGCACTATAATGCCTACATTGCGATCCAATTTGCCCCAACGATGTCCTGTATCATGTGCGCTTCCCCTCTGTGCTTCCACTCAGCTTGATGCACGTGCAAGCAATCACCATCCACCCACTCGTCATTGTTGGATGGTACGTGCCTCTGCTCGGCCGTTTCTTCTCACATTCGATCGCCATCCCCCTCGGATGCCCCACTTTGCTTTCTATATGTGCATTTCAGAACCTCGCCCAACCTGTGGTTCACCCCCCTGCTCCATTGCCTCACCATGCAAGCGCACACTACCCCTCCACCACCCTCCCATTTCCCTGCTGCCACAGGTGTGGCCTGACCACCTCTGCTCTCAATCTGCTGCCAGCAGGTCGGATTGACGGGGGGCGAGCCACACAGGTATGGCTCCCTGTGGATTTCACTTCATGGCTGAACATCTGTTGATGCAGGTTGGCCACTCCTTTCTTTCCGTCCTTGCATTTACCTCACATGAGTTCTCTGAGTGCACTCTTGTTTATGCATGTACCCAGGCTGCATTTGGGCGTGACACTGTGGGCATCACTAGCCTTGTGACATATGGACTTCTGGGAATCGGCTTGGTGAGTGCACTCATGAGCAGTCTTCCTCTCGTTTCAGCCTCAGGCTGAGCTTCAACGCACCCCTTGCCCTGAAAAAGGCTTTCAATAAAACCTGTTTCAAGCTTACCCACCTGCACACTAATGCTTTCTCTGCCTGTTTGTACCCTGTTCCTGGCCTGCTGGCAGCTTGGGGGACCATTTTCTCTGCCCTTTGGTCTCTACGTCCTCTTTCTTCAGGTATGTTTCCTTTGTGTCGCATGTCATGCCCGAAAATTGTGGGCTGTAGCTCTTGAAGAAATGGTACCAAAACCCTGTATCTGTGCTGGGGGTTCAACTGATCTCCACTCCCTGTGCTAAATCCACTCGTGATGCTTCCCTCGCCCACCAGAGGGACTTCGAGAAGCCTGCATTGAACGACGTCACAGGGGTTGGCTGGCAAAGGCAGCTGGTCCTTGCTGGGGCAATCGCCCTGGCAGTTGGCACACTTCTGCCAATTTGGGATGGACTTGCTGATGACCTCGGTATTGGTATTGGAAGCCAGCTATTCTGATCCTTGCATCAATAGTCTCCTAGTCCTCTTTAAGCCGTAGGAGGGTCCACCGTCCACCATTGTCCATTTCCACTGAAATGTTATTGTTTTGGGGAAGAGCTTATTTGACCTATGCAGGCAGCTTTGAAGCTGCGGCGGAATCCACAAACCAGGTGACTGATCCAATATAAGGACGGACCAGCTGAGCAGGCAGTGCACCTGGTAAAGCAAGCCTCCCAAAGATTCTCTGGACAACCTCAGCTTTTCCCTTTCCTGCCGCAACAAATGCAACCTGATTACAACCACGATCAATTTGTCAGCGAACAAGCTAAGGTGACCACTGGCCAGCCCTGGCCAAAAAACGAGTGTTCAGTGGAACGCAAACAGGCACTCACATTTGAAGCACAGTTGATGACAGGAAGCGTCATGGTGATCCGTTCTGGAGGCGGTTTCGGCGAGTTTGTGACAGGAAGCACCCATCTTGATGTTTCACGCAACAGCGGGCTGTTGGGGAAGAGTGAAGCCACATGGCCATCAGGACCGAATCCAAGAAGAATCTGCACAGTCCAAAAAGTAACGTTACGATTGGCCACTTGTGGGCAATTAAACATCATTAAGTGCAAGGGTTCTCACCAGGTCAATGCGAGGAAACGGCACACCCTGTGTTGTTCTGAGAACGCCCTCCTCCACAAGCTCTCTGAAGGATAATAGGTTATGATGTTAGTTAGATGAAGGTTTCTTTCACACAGTAACAACGTAAGCAACATGCTACTGGAGGCTGGCACGTACTTCATCAGTTCCTCATAGTCGCTTGCAGCTTCCACAACAGACAATTCATCATCAATAGAGTAAATATGCTCCTCAGGAATGGGAACCTTCGATAGCACCTCGTCCTGCATAGATGCCAATCCCCCTGAATCAGCACCTTCGAATTCAAGCAATGACAGCTACCCCAGGTACCTACCATCGCGAGCTTGTAGTTACTGTCAGGGCTCGAAAGCTTCACCGCACGCTCATCCACCCACAGGACGTGCCAATTCTTCCAATCTATTGACGATCTGAAGGGTTCTTCAGTCAGCTTCAGTAGAGCCTGCAACCAGGAACTATGAGCGTCTAAATACACGAATCTGGCGTACCGCCGCGAAACAGAAATAGATGCGTTGAGACATACAGTGACCAGCGAGCCCCCGGATAGCGCAATGGTAAAAGCACCCCTGGCCTTCGTCGCCTCTCCCGAAAGCCGCTGAATGTACTCCGCCACCGCGGAGGCGACCTCGGATGCGGATTCCTCGCGGCTTATGTACACCTTCGCCTCATGGTCAGGGTAAGGAACCACCAGCTTCGACTTCGGGAATGTGACGGTGAGTTCATCTGAGACTCCCACCTCATTGCTGGCCCAGACGGTTGATTTTCGAACCCGCTGGCTAAGAAACGTAGCGGGATCTGATAATCGGACGTTCAAATTCTGTTTGATAAAACAGGATCCAGGGAAGAACGAGGCCTGCAAGAAAACGAGAATCTAAGAGTAAGTATCCTGTTGCCGCCAAGCGTAGAAACAGCGACATTTGCATACTGCATTGAGACGGTAAACGAGTTCAATCACCTTGGCAGAAAGGCCAGAAACGACGTTGGGCAGACAGTAGGAGGCCATGGTTGGACCACAACAGAAGCTAACTCGTTTCCAGTTGTGAAATTACGGAGCCATAAAAGTGGAGCAGAAATTCCTTTCCGAGTGATTGGAATTTTCGAGTGTCAATTTGTGTTGCTGCAAATTGGTGTGGGAGAACTGCAAGTTGCTCTATGCCGTACGTTCCCCTCTTATCCAACGGTGGAACAATGTGTTACAAAACACGCCAAAGATTTCTTGTCGCCTGTGTTCTCATTTGGTCGTGAAGCGTCGCAGCCCAGCTGCCTCTGCAATTCTACTCCAGACCAACCAATGCGCTTCCATAATTTCCTGCCACAACCTGCCAGCAGAACCCACACCCACCAATCCCAGCACACTTCTCGTTCCCCTCGAAACCCCACCTTTCGCAACCTTCTTTTCGAATCTTCGATTCAAATCTTGCCTTACTTTTCTGATTTCACGTTTTGTTGCTGCTTGTTCTGGCCTTACTCTACCATTTTTTGGAAAGCATATCCGCTGGTTCTTATGGCGATGCCCGTGCAGTCCTCGCCCTATTCCGGGAATGTTATTACCACTGAACTTATACAAAAGGTATGCATTTCTTCGCTGTCTTCGGTTGTTGAATTATCCTCAACCCAACATCTCGCAACTTACTCGATTCTTGGTTTGAGCAGTATTTGGACGAGAATAAGCAGCTGATTCTTGCGATCCTCGACAATCAGAACTTGGGCAAACTTAATGAATGCGCACAGTAAGTTGTGCATATGCGATTTGTTGTACAGAGGGGGAACTGTTGCATGTACATATGGCTAACAAGATTGTTCGTGTGTTACAGATACCAGGCTAGGCTGCAGCAAAATCTTATGTATCTAGCTGCGATCGCCGATGCGCAGCCTCAAGTTCCTCCTCCTCAGGTATCAGACTACAATAACCATCAACTCATTTCCCCAACAGCCTTCTAGCATATTTACTCTGATTTCATGTTATTTATGGCTTGCAAATAGCACTTTTTGCGCAGGCTCCAACGGTTCAGCCAGGTCAGGCGTACACACAACCTTCAGCAGCGGCGCAGCCTGTTCCAGCAGCTCAAGTTCCAGGTCAGCAGGTTCAGTACCCTCAGCAACCACAGCAAGTGCAGTATCAGCCATCACAGCAGCAGCCTACCGCCCCTGCTCAACAGCAGCAGCCACAGCAGCAGCAGCAGCAGCAACCCGCGCCGCCGCAGCAGTACCAGCAGCCGGCGCAGCCAGCACCACCACCGCAGCAGCAGCAGCAACCGCAGCAGCAGCAATATCAGCAAGCACCGCAGCAGCCTCAGCAATCCCTTCCTGCCCAGCAGCAACCGCAGCAGCAATACCAGCAGTCGCCGCAGCAGCAGTTTCAGCAGCAGGCTCAGCCACAACAGTACCAGCAGTCCACACAGCAGTACCAACAACCAGCGCAGCAGTACCCTGTTCAACAGCAGCAGCCACAGCCTCAGCAACAGGCGCTGCAACCCCAGCAGCAGCCTACATATCAGCAGCAGCCGCAGCAACAGCAGATGCAGCCAATGCAGCCCGTTCAGCCAGGTCAGGGAATCCAGCAACCACTTCAGACGCCGCAACAACCCTTGCAAATGGCCCCACAGCAGACAGTCTCTGTCCCCCAGGACCAACAGCAGGCGTATTCGCAGGGCCAGCAGATGATGCAGCAGCAACAGATGGCTCCAGCTGCATCTCAGCCGGTTGTTGCCAGCGCTGTGAGCGGCGCTGGCAGCGAAGCCTCTGCAGGAGGTAACGGTGCTCCTGTTGGCAGCTTTGGCGACTATGGACAGGCACAGGTTGCTCAGCCACAGGCACCTACAGCACAACCAGCAGATACGAATATGGCCATGCCAAGTACAGGAATGTAGAGACTTAATTGTTTTCCTTCTTGTTTTCACAGTACTGATACAGGGCTTCACAGTATCTAACGCCTGGGAATAGGTTGCTTTCAGATTTCATAAAAACCTCCCTTGCTCGCCCTCACTATCTTTGCCTTCTCCTCCATTGTCTTGCTGACAGCTGGTACCGTAGATCTTGCTTGACTTTTCTGTTGTATCTCATGAGCTTCCCATCAGCCGTGGTATTGCTACCAATGCTGTAATTTTTTAAGTGCATTAGAATCCACCATTTCTTATATTTTCTCTTATAGTGCAATACTTGAAACTATTGAGCCATGCACATGGGATAAAGCAGTTCCAAGTTTCTTCAGCGAAGGTTTCAAAACCAATGCGCATCCGTGTTCCAGTGAAATGCACAATGCTATTGCCGTAATACCCCGGATAGTAGCGCATATGCGCTTATAATAAATTATTATTTTTTAGGGGGGGCGCTTGTAATTGAGTAACGGCCATAAGCGCCGCCGCTTTTATAAAGGCAAAAAAAAAAAAAAAAATCTCTGTAAAGGATATCATTATGAAGCCGTGAATAAGGCGAATACAACACTGTACCATGCACGCGGGGTCGTGCATGGAAGGACGGCGAAACTTGCCACGGTTCGATTTCCCACCGCACAAAACCCGTCCCGGTGCAACGCACCTGCCAGCGCTGATGCAAAAGCTGCCGTGCGGCCCAATCAGGTTGGCATGCGCTGCCAGGCAGGAGCATCTCGGCAGAACCATCCAGAACGTGATGGAATCTGCCGTGCCGGCGCAGCATGGATGGTGCCCCCAACCCTCCTCTGCGGGTTGGGGCAGGGGTGTACTCGTCTCTCATCGACGAGGACCCCGAGCCGCAAACCATAAGGGGTCCCCTTCAATCTCCCATTTCAACACCCAGGCGTGCAGTTTTTGATCCAGTCTTCTTTTTCTCGCCCGCATGGCTGCGGAAGCCATGGCGGAATTCACAGGCACTCATTTTCTCTTCAAGAAAAAACCTTCTAGTAGGCCCGCGTACCGTGTTACAGCTGACGGGTGGTATAGCCGCATACCTCCAGACCCTCCAGAGCCACCTGCGCCTCCTGCGCCGCCTGCTCCTCCGGCTCCTCCATCGCCTCCGACTCCCCCTGCTCCTCCTGTTCCTCCATCTCCTCCGTGTCCGGTGGCCCCTCACATCGACAATCACCCCGTGCTCACGCTCCTGCTCCCATCGGCGTTCGACGAGTATCTGTCGGAACTGGATTATGACAAGTAGGGCCTATTTTATCAGTGTAAATCACACTGCTACACTGATGTGTTTGGGTTTTTTTTTTGAAAGTTAGTGTTACACTGATTTGACAATGAAACGATTTAGGCCACACTGATGGTCTGGGGTAAATTTTTTGAAAACGAAGATTACCCTTAAGGGCGTACAGGGCACCCCTCCCTCCCCCCCCCCCCCCCCCCTTTCATTCTCGAAATTTTGCACGAGCGTGATTTCCGTCAATCACGCAAGTACCGAAGCGGCCTTCCCCGCAGAATATGCGTTGGCAGCAGTCATCTGTGTAATTGGTCAGTTTGTTATGTTTCGATATGTTGCCTGCACTTAGTCAAATCCCTGACCACATTCATACTGTCGGTGGCACAGATGCAAGCCGCGTCACCCAACGAAGCGACCTGCTGCTGTGCCGTGTTGGTTCAGCAAGCTCAACAGAGTGGGTCAAGCAGTTTCGCAACACTCGGCCATTCCTCCAGCCAACTCCAAAAACCACTGTTTTTTTTTTGCCACTCTGTCTAGCATCCACACGTTCTCCACCCCGTTGCCATGGCAGCGCCGAGCGACGATGACGCTGACGATGCCGATGGCGACCCCCATTGTAGCCACGGTCCAAGTGTTATAGTCTAGAGTCCACTTAGGGGTCGTAGATGCCCTTGAAACCACCTTAGCAGAATCTGTTGACTTCGAACCGCCTCTGTTCAAAACGCCGTCACGATCAGCTCCGATAACAAACGAGGCTGAAACTTGGACAGAAGTTAGCTCCAGGTGTCTGCTTTCCAACGGTATATGGCTTGCTTTCATCAGATGTGTATGCGCTACGCAGTGAACAAAAACGTAAGCTCGGCTGAAAAAACGAGTAGCTTCATTGATGCAAGGAAGAGGTTGAGTACAACATTGCCTAGGGGACTCTTAAGGGGTTGGGACCATCCTGGGAACTCAGAGAAGGTTGAGTCCTAGGGGAGAAAGGCTAGAGAAGGATGGGAAACGTCCTAGCTAGGTCAGCAAAGCCAACCACACTTGGATGTTCAGAGCTGTACTCAAGGCTACCAATAGTGAGTCAAGCCAACCATGAGTCAGCTTGTCTTCCCACTTGCACCCTCTTGCAATCTGCTACCAG